AAACTATTCTCCAAAGCACCTGAGGGCAGAACAAGAAGAAATGGGTGGAAACTAATCAAGGAAAAAAGCAATTTAGAACTGAGGAAGAATTTCCTGACAATTAGAACAATTAATCAGTGGAACAGAAGTTGCCTCCAGAAATTGTGAGTGCCCCAACACTGGAAGTTTTTAAGAAGATGTTGGATAGCCATTTGTCTGAAACGGTATAGGGTTTCCTGCCTAGGCAGGGGGTTGGACTAGAAGACCTCCAAGGTCCCTTCCAACTCTGCTATTGTATTTGTATAAACATATACATACATACATACATACATACATACATACATACATACATACATACATACACACATGGAATAACTACAAAAGCACATACACATACAGACACACACACACATATCGAATAAAATATTAAAATACAAATATTGAGTCTATGCTGCTCTCAGATGCCCGATTCAAGCCTATCGTGGCCGTGATGCCTTGCGCGTCGTCCCGATTTTTTTTTGACCGCGGTGTATGCCGGTCTTAGAAGTCTTTTCCTCAGCGCCCGGGATCCTTCACCGGTTGGTAACCGCCTCACCCAAGTCGCTCTCCTCCACCCACGGGATAGGCGCATGCGTGCAGCGTGCCGGGCGTGCCTCACGCATGCGCCCGAGGCCGCTGCTGCAGTGATAGCTGAGGGGGGGCGGCCGCCATCTTACCAGTCGGCGGAGCGGGCGAGGGTTGGACGCGGCGGCTCCTTCTGCCGTCGGCGGGACCAGGTGAGTCAGGACTCCGAGCTCCCCGGGAAGGAAGGCCTCGGTTGCTTTTGTGTGAGGCAGGCCAGAAGCGGCTTCCCGCGGAGGCTCGTTCCGTCCCGCCCTTGAACGAGCGGCTGCTTTCTCCCGCTTTTTTATTCTTCTGAGGCGCCGCTTCTTTCCCGGGGGTGGGGGGTCCGCTCCGCTCGAGGCCGGGCCTGGCGCATGAAGGATTACCGGCTCGGAAGAGGAGGTTGCAGCCTCTCCTCTGCGGTGGAAATTCCCTCAGGAAATTTGCGGGCTGTCACGTTTTCTCCGCCCGGCACCCCGACCTGCGGGGTTGTTGTGGGTCACGCGTGTCGTCTGAATGGGGGTGGTGGACGGGGCGCCCACTCGGGGTCTCCTCAGGGATCGAGTGGGGGGGCATTTCACGTAACCGCGGGGTCGTTTTCATGCTTGTCGGTTGTATAAACCGCTATTTTACAGCGGAGGTCCGTACAATGAACCCTATCATCGATTAGCAGGAGACCTTTATAATGCTTTGGTAAGGCCACACTTGGGATCCTGCACACAGTTTTGGTCGCCACGATGTGAAAAAGATGTGGAGACTTTAGAAAGAGTGCAGAGAAGAGCAACAAAGGGGATTAGGGGGACAAACATACGAGGAACGGTTGCAGGAACTGGGCATGTCTAGTTGAATGAAAAGAAGGACCAGGGGAGACATGATAGCAGTCTTCCAATATCTCAGAGGTTGCCACAAAGAAGAGGGAGTCAAACTATTCTCCAAGGCACCTCAAGGCAGGACAAGAAGCAATGGGTGGAAACTAATCAAGGA